TGTGTGTGATCCCGGTCTACAAATAAAATAAAAATCCTAGGAACCAGGGGTTCCTTTATCCACGTTACAACTCCACACCAAAAGGATAAAAAGGAAAACGAGTACCCAAAAAAACATTAAATCCAGTATGCCAAAGTAATTGTATACTCCACAAAAGATGTACACCAAAAAATTAAGAAAGAAACAAAGACCGAGTGAAGAACTCCAGGCGGCAACAACATCACAAGCGTCTGAGTTCCACGAAAGAAAACCTGCAGTAATAATGACAAAGGAAAGAAAGAGGGCCCGTGAAAGTAAAGATTGAGTTAATGAAGACAATAAAACCTGTAAACTCAGGTGCAAAAGCTGGCACCCAAAGAAAGTACCACAAAACCAAAAGTAGGTACTGCCATAAATATAAGGTGAGCGGCAACCACCGCCTCAACCGAGAGCCAATCGAGCCCGAAGTAGGAAAGGAAATATAAGGACAACCCCAATGAAATCTAGGGCCAAACCATACCACCAAACATATAATAACAAGCTAAGAGGAGACATCTCGACTAACATATGGGGCATCAATCTTGTCACCAACCAACATAGTGTTTAAAGGAAGGGGGATCAGATCCCACCCAATAGTTACTAGTGGCGCTACCTAAAATAGCAAGTCAATTTGCGTGTTGATTTTCCTCCCGATAATTGAAACTCTATATCACATTCATATTAGAGATTAAGCCTTTAATCCTCTTAATATAATAGAGGATATCCCAAGGGGCCTCGACACCATTGACAAAAATGTCAACCAAGATGTGATTATCACATTCAAAGATAATAAAATGATAGCTAAGAGAGTGAGCTATCATGATAGCCATCAAGATGGCCCGAGCCTCCTCCTCCATAGGAGTGTCAGCGTAAGAGGGGGAGGAAAAGAAAATAATATAGTTCCCAGCAAAATTCATAGCAATGCTTCCACAGCTCGCACTGCTAAATTTTCACTCCTATCGATGTTAAAATTTACCCAACCCCTGGGAGGAGGCCTCCATCTCACCAAAACCGGGAGAAGAGGAGATCTCCTCTCAGCCATGACCACAAGCCCCATAGAAAGAAAAAAGTTAATGCCCGAAAGAAGCTTTGTTTAGCATTACTCATGTTTATTAATATAGGCAATAATGTTAGTAAAGACCATCCTATTCTGAATGTCTTTACCCTCATGTATAATATCATTACGAGCCATCCAAATAAATCATCATATAATGTAAGGGTAGACTTGCAAAAAATGTTTCTGTTTTTTATCTGGATTGCAAATTATAGTGGTAAGCAAAAGATTTCGCTCCGGATTCACAATAGTGCCAAACTACATGACAACCTTCCTACATATGAAAAGTGAAAAGGGGCAAGAAAAGAAAATATGCTCAATAGTCTCCTCCGCCGAGTTACATAAACAACAACGTGAAGCAAGTCTCAAACCCTTAATTTTTAAGATATCATCACATGGAATAACAGAGTGGAAAATCCACCAAGCCAGAAAAGACATAGAAGAAGTTAATGCCCAACTCCATACACCCTCTCCCTAAGGGAGCTTTTGAAAATTATGTAAGGCGGAATATAGAGATTTGGTAGTGGAGCAAGACATAGGAAATTTCAACGTAGGAGTATCTTGCAAATGAGGCTCAATAGGAATGGTGGAAATGAAAGTAGCTCCCTTGAAACCCAGAAGATTAAGGAGAAGAGGAAAATCCCAATGATCATCCATCCAAGTATCAGAAACCATAAGACTTGAAAACCTTGTATCCCTCATATCAAGCATTACATGGGACCAACAGTCATGCCAAAAGGAAATGTTTCGACTCCCCACCTCCCAGTATATGAAATCCTTAGCCCAATCTCTAATATGAAGCATTCTCTTCCACATAGTGGAATCCCCCAACCGCCAATTGATCAATGTCGGATGAGAGAAGTGGCAATATTTCTCATGCATGAAAATGACCCACAAGGAATCACCTTTCTGAAAATTAAACCATTGTTTAAAAAAATTAATATCAACAATATGGTGCAGAGATTTGAAACCCAAACCACCAGCATAGAGGGGTTTGCAAATATTCTCCAAGGCATCCATATTCTACCTGAATGATTCCCCACCCATAAAAAACTTATTGAAACATCTTTCGAGGCTCAAAATAGTGTTTTTTTTAGTTGAAAAACTTTAAGAGTATATAAAGGAAGAGAATGTAAGATACTCCTGAGCAACGTAATTCTACCCCCAAAAGAAATGAAATTATTTTTCCAATCCAAGATTTTGTTTCGCACCTTTTCCACCATCTCATCAAACTGAAGTGGAAGGGTAGAAATAGAGAATCCAGTGAAATTGACAATCTAACACCATTAGAACGACTGACCCTATTTCCCATGTATAAGTTGCATTTATTGGCATTAAAAAGGAGACTGGAGATAGGTTGGAAGTTCCCTATTAAACTGTGAATATTCCTCACCGCTTTTTTGCTAGCATTAGAGAACAATATCATATCATCGGCATACGCTAAATGTGTTACCAACATATTGGATTTATGAGCATTTTGCAAAGTGAGGTTTCTCCTGAAAAGGTTATTTAAAAGGCGAGAATGATAATCAAATATTAAAATGAAAATAGTAGGGGATAAGGGGTCACCCTGCTTTATCCCACGTCCCGTACTAAAGAAGCCCCGAGTGACTATTGATGAGGATGCTATATTTATTGCAGTGGAGTCATAAGAGAATAATTTTGCAAAAATCCTGAGCGAAGCCTCGAGCCTTAAGAACCTGCAAGATAAACTCCCAACTAACAGAATCATAAGCCTTGCGGATATCCAATTTAGTAATCATGTTTCCCCCTCTACATTTATTATCAATATCAAGAATAACGCATGCATAATATTATCTAAGATCCCTCGCCCTTGAATAAAGGCAGACTGATTCATGGAAATTAATTTGTGGAGATGAGGTTGAATACGTCTGACCAAAATTTTACTAATCATCTTAGATATGATAGAAGTAAGAGAAATAGGTCTAAAATGGTCCCAAGAGCTTTTTTGAGTGTTTTTGGGAATAAGAATGATAGTAACGACAGAGTAATAATTTCCAGGGGCCTCCTCCTTAAAGAAACTTTATATAATTTCCACCACTTTATCCTTAACAATACTCCAACATTTAATCTAGGAAGCAGAGGTGAAACCATTAGGCCCCGGGGCCTTGTTGCAATTAATGTCCAGAAGGGTAGAATAATTTTCCTCATTCGAAGGAATACCACAGAGATCGAGATCCACCATGTGATGACGTACCATCAAATAAGGAAGCATCAATAGAGCCTCAATTCTCATGAAACTCAAAAAGTTTAAAGAAATAAAGAACATCGCTTTCCCCAATCTCCTCATCCCCATTAATCCAACACCCCTCATCATTTTTATTCCTCACAATAGTGTTATTCACTCGTCTTTGTTTAATGCAAGCATGAAAGTATTTGGTGTTTTTATCACCTTGAGAGAAGTGGATTTTCCCAGTTTTTTGTTGCAACAATTCCTCCTCCCAAAGGGAGGCCTCAAGTAATTCTTTATTAGCCTCCTGTAAGTCATGGATAATATCATAAGAATATTCATCAAGAGCCTGTAGGAGATTGACCCTCTGCTCAACGCTCTTAACTCTACCATGAACATCACCAAAGACATCCCAGTTCCAAGATCTTAGAGCAGAAGCCACCTTTTTATGTAGCTTCCAAAGAGTGAACCATGCATTGCCCATCTCCTCACATCTCCAATTAGTAGCAATGACTCGCAAAAAGTCATCATGTCTAGCCCAGACGTTTAGATAATAAAAGTGATAGGTGGAAACCTTTTTGAAACAATCAAAGGACAAAAGAAGGGGGTTGTGATCAGACCCAGATCTACAAAAATGTTGAACTTGCGAAAAACCATAAGAGGAAATCCACAATTGATTAGTAAAACACCTATCTAGGCATTCAAAAAGCTTTCCCCTTTTCTAAGTGAACCTAGAACCAACAAAACCCAGATCAGAAATGCCAGCCAGATCCAAAGCTTCATTGAATTTATCAATTAAAGTGGTGTCAATTCTCCGACCATCCAATTTTTCAGAATCATGCATCACCATATTGAAATCCCCTCCAACCATCCAATTATGGTGGACTAAGGCACCCATATCAGATAGTTTGTGTCAAAGATCATATCTAGCAGTATTAGTAGTCCCGACGTAAACAAAAGTGAGGCATCCAAAGAAAACATCCATAGAAAAGAAAGTGTGCACAAACTGTCTATCATCAATAATGACATCTACTGTGATATGCTTCCGCCAAAACAACCAAATCTTGTTAGAGCAATTAGCAAAGAAAGAAAAAGTTTTTGAATTTACCCAAAATGTGATCATCCAGAGAGGATACCAATGGTTCCAAAATAGCAAAGATACGACCTTATGCATCCTTATCATTGACTTGAGTCTACCAAGGGAGTGAGGATCCATAACTCCCGTGATATTCCAAATTAGGACATTAAACATGAGTAGACATATGACCCTTACTAGAAGATCTAGTTTGGGTCCGTCCATTTTCTCCATCTGAAAAATAGTGATTCATATCCAACAAAGTGTTCCCACTATTATGTTTTTGCACATCCTCTTGGCCTCTATACTTCCTCCGACGATACTTTTGAACATGTCATTCATCCCTTAATATTTTAGAAATATCATGCAAAGGAGTATCAGATAGGGCATCAGAATGATGAGAATATAAATAATTATTATCAGTATTCAAAGTGTCAGGAAGAGAGGCCGAGGAAGGATGGACCCCCTTAGAAATAGAAATGATAGGAGGATCCGGAACAGGTAACACCTGCTCAGCTATCCCAACCGGGGAAATAGCATTAGAGGTAAGAGGATATTGATTATTATCAATATTCAAAGCATTAGGGAGAGAGGCAGTCGAGCCCTCTCAGTATTCAAAATAGTAGGTGTGGGAGCGGGTATGACCTGCACGACACGCCCAACCAGCTGTCCCTCGGTCTGGACCGCAGGGCTATTCAAAATAGTAGGTGTGGGAGCGGGTATGACCTGCACGACACGCCCAACCAGCTGTCCCTCGGTCTGGACCGAAGGGATAACAGTTGGGGGGCGGCAGCCATAACAACTGCCGGAGTAACCTCAGGCGCCTGCTCAACGTGTAACTGTTTCATATTTCCCTCTTTCCTCAACTCAGGATGTAGCTTGAAACATTGGTCCTAACCGTGGCCAAACATTCGATAGTGAGTACAATAAGAGGGGTGTTGTTCTAATAAAACTTGTTGCCAGTGTCTATTGTGAGTCGATCCAATCCAAACCTCGTCAGGTGGGGGTAAGGTGACATCCCGTTTGATTAAATCTCTAGCCATAACCGGTCTCATGAGATTATAGGTAGGCACATCTAATTTAAGGGGTCTCCCAAACATAGCAGCCAAGGTGAACAAAATTTCATTGTTGAAAAGATGAGCTTTCAAACCTGGGAACTGAAGCCAAACAAGGATAATCGAAGCCTCAGCTTTGGGATCAAAATTAGCAGACCATTTCAAGACTTTCATTCCACAATCCTCAAACCACACCATACGCCTAACAAGCAGACGGGTATAATCCTCCTCATTGGACAACTAAATTAAAATGTGTCTTCCATCTGCAGGTCCTATCTTCCAATCTCCGGTAAGCTTCATCAGTTCAAAATGTTTTCGAAGGAACTCCATTTTAGGATACCTATACAAGAATTTTCCTACTAGATGTAGGCGGCATGAAGAAGCAAGTTCACCGTTCTCGTCATCAGCGAGAAAGAGAGCCAACTTACCCCTTTCCGGCCAGGACGTCGAATAAAAGAAGAATCAGAGCCGAGTGCGAGTGAGTCATAGAAGACAGAATGGAAGTTTGGAACGCCATCAACGGTCAGGCATAGGAACGATATTGTTTACTCGCGTCACCAATGCCGCCGCCGGCCACACCAGCCTC